GTCAACCTAATCGCTAAAATTGGACCACCATCCTTAAAATTATCTGGAGCCAATCCATCTGGACCAGCTGCGCTTCCTCGTTTCAGATTAACTATAGCCTTTTGGACTTCAGCTAGGGTTGGGGGACCTACTTCAATGTTCCATTCACATTGTCTGGGAATAAAGGGTAGTTGTAGAAGATTGTCGCTCATTCTGGAGTACCTGCTTGGACTCCGACCATGCCCTGTTACGGGCACGCATCTGCTTGCGCCTCACTGGACGCAGAAAAGCCACAGTAAAAAGACCCATTAGAACTGAATTGAGTAGCGAGAAAACCAAAAGTAGGTTCCAGGAACAACTGAGGTCACACTTAGGTAGTTCTGAAAACGAGGCTGACCCAGATGTTGCTTGGAACGATATACAAACAGCTGTGGAAACAGCAGTGACATCTATCAGTGATTTAAACCACAAGGTTACAAAGAACCAATGGATTTCTTCAAGGTCTATCACACTGACGGATTCTCGTAAACTCATCCCATCAGGTTCTGAACATGATGAAGAGCGTAAACAAATCAGATCTGAGTTAAGCAAAAGTCTAAGGAACGACCGTGAGCAGTAGTGAGCAACGAAAGCAAAAGAGATGGAAAGGGCAGTGGCTATAGGGAACAAAAGACAGCTCTACAGACTAATAAAAGAAGGTGGAATTACTAAGTCAAGTGTAAGTCAGACTATTTCGGAAAAAGATGATACTCTCACCTGCTCCCAGTCCAGACGTTTAGAACGATGGGCGGAACATTTTAGAGAACAGTTCAGCTGGCCTTTAGCTATTCTACAACTACCCTTTATTCCCAGACAATGTGAATGGAACATTGAAGTAGGTCCCCCAACCCTAGCTGAAGTCCAAAAGGCTATAGTTAATCTGAAACGAGGAAGCGCAGCTGGTCCAGATGGATTGGCTCCAGATAATTTTAAGGATGGTGGTCCAATTTTAGCGATTAGGTTGACTAATATTTTAGCTATAATCTGAAAGTTAGATGTTATCCCATCTAACTGGTCGCAATCACTTATCGTCCCAGTATATAAAAGAGGGTCAAAATCACCCTGTGACAACCACAGAGTGATTACTTTAACTAATATAGTATCTAAAATACTAGCCTCGATAATTATCAGGCGCCTAACTAAGACTCGTGGACTGCAAACACGAGAGAACCAAGCTGGCTTCAGACCTGGTCGTGGCTGCATCGACCACATATTCACCGTTCTTCAGGTTCTAGAACACAGGCATACTTATCGACGTCCGATAATGGTGATCTTTCTTGACTTAAATGCAGCATTTGACTCTGTAAACCGCAGGATTCTGAGGCAGTGCCTGTCATTGAAAGGCGCACCCCAGATGTACATAAACCTTTTAAAGGCTCTTTACTCGAACACTACTAGTCGAGTCAGAGCTTATGACGAACTGTCATCTACTTTTGCAACCTCAAGTAGTGTCCGTCAAGGCTGTCCACTTTCTCCATTTTTGTTTAACTTCATGATAGACCTACTCATGGAAATAACGTTCTCGTCGACTGAATTCTGGAGTACTGATCTCCTACCAGGAGGTCCACTTATCGACTTAGAATACACAGATAATATAGTCCTGTTTGGTGAAGACTCTGACATAAGGCAGAGTAATTTGTTAGCACTAAGCAACAATGCCGGAATGTTTTGAATGCGCTTTTCTCCCTCTAAATGCAAGTTGTTGCTTCAGTACTGGCCTGCGTCAACACCTGAACTAAGGATAGGGAGTGAAGTAGTCGAGCGCGTTGACAACTTCACTTATCTTGGAAGTCTGATCAGCGCTAATGGGCTGGTATCGGACGAAATCTCAGCACGGATTCGAAAAGCTCGCTTGGCTTTTGCCAACTTACGTCACCTTTGGCGAATGCGAGATATCTGTCTATCAATAAAAGGATGAGTATACTGCGCGGCAGTCCGTTCTGTTTTACTTTACGGCAGCGAAACATGGCCATTAAGAGTAGAAGACACCCGTAAGCTACTAATATTTGACCACAGATGCCTTAGAAATATTGCTGGCGTTGTTGTGATCACCGGGTAAGTAATAGTGAGGTTAAACGCAGGGTATTAGGTAATGATGGTAAATCAGTTGACGAGGTTGTTAATCTTCATCGACTGAGATAATTGGGCATTGTGTTGCGTATGCCCGCACACAGATTACCACGACGTGCAATGCTAACGGGTGTTGGGGATGGTTGGTAAAAAGTTAGAGGCGGCCAAACCAAAACGTGGCATCAGTGCTTGAAGACAATAACCTCTAGTCTGAGCCATGTTGGTTGATGCAAACTACTTGGTTGGGGTCCGCGTGACTATCGTAACCAAGGGTTGGAGACTCCTGGTGACATGGCTCAGAATCGATCACAATGTCGTAGGTGTCTAAACTCTCTGTCTTCCCTTAAACTAAGAGATTAAAATCACTTCATATCTTTCTTTCTACGAACTAATTCTGTCTTCCTGTAATACACTTTTATATGCAATCTTTCTCCTATATATTACCCACATTGAAGTAAACACGTATATGAATCTAGTGTTCATTTTGGTGTGATAATACAACCCTCTTTTGAAAGAAAGTTAATCAATCAATTTTGATGTTTTCTAGAACTGTGATATACTTTAAAAAGAAAGACAATATCAGTTATTGGACGTTGTATTCCATTAGAAACATCGTAGTACTAGTATATAATTTTATTTTGAGATAATCTTGGTCACATAAAGGTGTTTCCTAAAAACAATATTAGAACTTAACACGTTAATGATGGATAAGATACTAGTGTTTACCGTAAACAAGTAAGAATTCAGAAACTTAAATGTGCAAGTTTACGGTTGCATATTCGTATGCCTATCTAACTCTTAAATGCCCCTAAGTGACCTGGTACGGCCGAGAGTAGGGAGAATCAGTTCTTTTTCTCGAAATGCTCTCAAGTGGCCACGTGCATACAACCACTATCAGAGGAGTCTTACACACTGCCTTCTCGTGTTAGGGATATTGTTTTCGAAATTTAGAAGAGATAAAGCGAATGTCTGTCGCTTTAATTAAGTTGGTGAATACTTCGATTCCATTTAGTAGGGTTGTAAAACCTTGATTCCAAACCAATGGTGCACATGGGCTGATTCCAGGATCCTGAAGGAACCAAAGGCGCATGAACCAGTCGTTGGTCACTGGTTACTGTAGAACTGCATCTTCCAATGTTGCTCCACTTCCTTGTGGATTAAACCTTAATGTCGATGACTCCGGGTGTGGCCCTCTACGAAACACACGTGCTTCGGTCAGCGCACTCGGGCAGTATCACACCGGCATATGCATTTCGTGCCTCTATTTCCCAATATGTATGTGTTTAAATAATAATAATGAATAATATTAGCTGCTTACCACCACTCATAGACCTACAGTGTAATGTTGAGGTATGATATGATGTGAAATAATTGACGCCGATGACGGGAAAAAATTACGATAACTTAGATTATCGATAATAACTATATAGATTTATTTATGCAAAAACAATTATGAGGTCATTAGAAGGTAGAATTAAAAACAGGCGGTTGTGTAATGCGGTGTTTGGAAATATATAAGATGAATAATGTGATAATTAAAGAAGTAAAGAGTTTACGTAAGATTCAAACCATCTGATGAGATATTTATGAGCTTGTTTAGCAGTAGAAATTAACCAGATGGATTCCCTAATAACTAGACAGGATGAGGAGATTGTTTTGAAGTACACAAAGTAAGAATTGGTTTGGATAAGATCTCATAACAGAACACACTGATAGAATAATAATAACAATATAGAAACATAACATCCTGGCCGAGTCATTATTATCTATGACTAGATCAGTTTTACACAAAATCATCTGCTGGTTCACATGGTGTTTAGGACCAGTCTGCAAGAAGTAAGCTACCTACAGTCTGAAGGCTAGTTTCGAATTTTTACAGAGGCTTGACAACTTAAATTTTTCCGATATATTCATGGGATCTTTTGACATCACTACTCTGTTTATAATGATCTTTATGGAATAAACAGCCGGAATCGTATGTCAATATCCTGTACTCTTCATTTTTCAATTAATAAGTCTGAGCAGCTCCCATTCTTGGGTACCAAAAGTAAACACTCGGTTCAACAATGTACTGTCCGGTCAAGTTGATAGAGTCTCCATGGGTAGGGCCGTGGACCCAATTCCGACTGATATATTTATGAAGAACCTGAGTTAGATAAAGCTTAAGCATGCAATTGATGTAACTACACATTATTATAGATTAATGGATGACACATTTCTTATCTGCAAAAAACAGTTGCATGCTGTGTGTCTACTCAATCAGTTTAACTTAGCAGACATTTACTAAATCTTGGTAGCTCCCATTCTTAGGTGCCAATCTAAAGTGAAATGTTAAGACGATGGAAGAAAAGAGAACGAGATTAGAGAATGATTGGTGGGAATCGAAGGAACAATGAAGTTTGAGACAATTGGATTGGCATTTTGCAAATGGACTATTTACTTCATGGTTCTCAGATTTTACTATGTGATTCTATGATTTTGTATTCAATTACATTCAGTTGTCCCCACTGGTGTTATAGTTCAGTACAGTTGTACTTCTATTTACAAGATTTCATCACTAACAATCTAATGCGACTTACAAGTCTAAACTAATGCATGGGGAATTTCCATAGACGGAAATGATTTCCATTTAACCTAATGAGAACACGTACCACTTTACAGGTTGAGAAGAGATTCGATTCTTGAAGTTGGTGTTTTCTAAATTTGATTAAGACTTGTGATATTGAATGCATGAATTCAACTGAATAAACACGTAAGTGGAATGAACATGGAGTCGTTCAATGAATGCACATAGATAACGGTTTAGTCGTTCGTCTAAAATAATTCATCTTTTAGTCACTTTGTTAATCTGGATAAACGTCTTGTAACGATAATACGCCTAACAAAGACATTTATTCAGTAAAGAGTTTAGTTAGAGTTCGCAACGGTTTATTTATAATATAAAATGAATGAAAAGATAATATGAATATGGAACGTTTCTCAGAAGTATTCAGTATACATTTGTAATGACTTCACTCTAAGTAACATTTTATGATAATGTTTAAAGATAGTGTAATTACTTAATCCGACCAGCTGTTACCTCGGATTCGATGCCACATTCATTATGACCACGTAGTATTCTGAAATATCCATTTTCACCCCAATCTTCATTCCACGAATTCGCTATCAACCAATAAGGAGTGTTTTCTTCCATACCCCATCCAATTATACGTATGGCATGTCCACCAACTGGTTCTCCAGTAATATGTTCATAGATCCCAGATTTGTAATTTAGAAAATCTTCGTAAACTGTGAAGGATGCTTCTACTGGTCCATACTTCATGATTTCCTTTTGAATAGACATTTCATAAGCAGCAACATTGTAGGATGATTTGCCTAACAGATGAATAAAGCGATGATGAAAATGAGACTGATATCACTCAGTAGAGAACTTCCAAAAGTAATCTCAAAAAGGATAATTTCACATGTAGAAGCACCATTTCTAAGCAACTCTGACAATATATTGTGATCAATCTATGTGAGTGACAAGTCAACGTTTTCATGATAAATTGTCATCATATTCTAAAACACACCACTTACCTCGATGCTTGTCTTGGGCGTATGGGATTTTGTAACTTTTCTGACATGTCTGTTTACAGCGAGGAGTTTTGTAGATTTTTTTGCCACATGCAGGATACTTCCCTTTGGTATGATGCTCACATTTTGGGAATGGATATGGTTGACAGCCTGTGTGATTCTCTTTCGAACTTCCAGTAACAATACCTTCCTCTACCCAATAATCCCAAGCAGGACCAAGGAATCCACCATCACAACCAAATCCACAACCTTCGCAACAGCTCACTAGATCCACAGCACTTAGTTCCACAGATTGTCTGCCACGTGATTGTATGCAGGTTCGATCACTCATGGCTTCGACAGCACCGAAAGCCTGGAAAAAAGCAATGACAACATCAAAACGTTTTGATTTTCCTAGTGTATTTACGTGGAATGAGTGGTCAATATTTGAAAGCCTCTTCAGTTCAACATGACTTGTTTCGCTAATTATTTTAGTCACCGGACATATGTTCACAGATGTGATACTCAACATTGACGTCATACAGCATTCAAAAAAACAATTTCTCTGGATAATATGACTCTGATACTGTCTGACGTTTGGTGAGATCTCCTACAAACTCACTGATGTGTGGAAATAATCATTGTTATACTAACAATGTTTACGTTTTTCAAATTATGCGATCATTATAACTCACCCAACATGATCCACATCGTGATTGATCACGAATGGTCGCTATACTTTTACAACGAGGCCATTTCTTCCTTGAATCGAAACTTGATGGAATTTCTACATTCCAATCATTATGGTCAACTGTGGGACGTCTCTTCTTTCTTAATTCTGGTTCCTCTCTTCTTGCACCCATCAGAATACGTGCGTCATCCAGTGAGTGGAAACGTTTGCTTTTCTCAGCTTTCCATTCAGCATTTGGCTGAAGAATGAAAAAGTTGAAATCATGATTGAATGAGAAACAATTCTGACAATGTTGAACTAAAAATGGAATTCGAATATGAAGATTTAGATTTGTTCCTTTTTCAACTGTCAGTTGTTGTATTGAACTTAGATATATGAAATGAAATCAGTATTAGGCCGATGGCGTACGAAACAATGTAACCTGTCATTTTAAATAACTTATAGATGAATTCTAGTTGTAAAGAGGAGGAATCATCTGATTGATTGCACATTCTCCTCAATCAAATCTCGCTCCGTACACAAGCTACTTACACTATAAGGTAGTAGATCTGTTCTAATCCAACCGATCATACACAGTTAGAACATACATCACTTTAAAATGTATGCCATTTACAACATTGCTACAAAAAAGAACCTACATGTTGATTGATATACGAGATGATGTCATCTGACAATGGTTCAAATCTTTCTTTATTTATTGAAATATGAGCTTCGAGAAGAGTTACCAATGAAGCGATACACAACACAGACGTAAGCATATCTAAACAAATCTTGTGAATGTACTCCCTCGAATACAACAATTATCATATAACCATTGTTTCATATATATACCAAACTGAAATAATGGACTTTGAGTTACAATGGTATGATAATATCACATTTATTATTTCACCCACTTAAGTTCTTTCGTTTACAATCAAATGTAACACTTCAATAGAGCTATGATTCAGCATACAAATCATCACAGATCACTTCAGAATGTTGATCAAAGTTCTTATACACAATAAGATTACAAATAAAATAGTAATGGAAATGGAAATCTTGATTTCAAAGGTTAATTTGTTATACGTTGCCATTACAAGTACTTCAAAAATAAAATAATCACAGATGTGTTTACTTATAATTTGTGCTTAGTGATAAGTTTTGTTTATGATGAAACTGTCCATTTTGAATAAAAATGTTTCAGGTCGATTTAATTAAGCTTCATTTGTATAACCATTACATAGTCTTTAATTATAGGTTTTTGTTCTGTTGAGTTCAAAATGTGATGTGATAGGTTCGAATACCGGTTTTCCAATCAAGGCAGTTCTGTATGTAGATTCATCTAGGAAATTCAAAATAGGACGAAAAAACCATTCTAAATATCACAGTTGGTTACAATGTGTTTGTTATGAATAAAATCAGTTTATTATACTTCTCTAATGTAATTGTGGTGTAAGCTGATGGAAGTAGTATGTATTATCAATCGAAAGTGAAATGCTTGAAGGCAGAACGTTGTGAAGATCAAAGAAAAGAGGACGAGAACAGAGAAATATTGGTGTGGAAACGAAAGAACAGTGATGTTTGCGACAATTGATTGATATTTTGCAAATGAAATATTTACTGTATAGTTCTCAGATTTATTCAACTTACGCCCACCAGCACTCTTCATTCACCGACAGTAACTCTGGAAGAGCTACAGATGAAGTTCGATCTCATCAAGAAGCCTTATAATTTTATATTGAAGTACAGTCAGTTGTCCCCACTTGTTTATTCTCGTTCACTACACAATACTTGCCTGTCCTTTATTGAGACACACAAGTAGTCACAGTTCTGTAAATGCTATGCAGATAATTGAATGGACGATCGGCTTCGTATTTTGATGATGATTTTGTTTTGATATGTTGTATGAAATCGGTTCGATGTAGTGAAAATAGCTATCAACTTCGAATTATCACCAATTGTGATTGTAAGTACAAACAATCACAGCAAAATACTTTTTCTGAAAACAATGTTTACTCAATCAGCTTCAATGCATATGATGTAACTATATTATTGTGGAACGAGACGACCAATCACTGAATACTTAATCATGCCCGGCTTTCTATGGGTCCATTATATGACGTTATTTAAACACGGAGTTCTAGTTAGGCTGCAAAATAATCCTAGGTCTTAAAGAATAAAATATTATACTACTTAACGTTGTGAGTTGGTGCTTAGCTACTAATTCGTCCCCAAATGCCCTGGTATGGCCGAGAGTGGGGAGAGTCAGCTCTCCCTCTCTAAATGCTCTCACATGGCCACGTGCATACAACCACTATTAGAGAATTCCTACTCGCTGCCTTCTCGCGGCGTAACTGTTGTTTACGTAATTGACTGAACGAAAAGCGAATATACGGTGGACACGGAGAGTTCACCAAGGGGAGTTGGGAAACCTTAATTCTAAGTCAGTGGTGCAAATGGGCTTCAGAATGAACCAATCATTGGTCACCGGCTACCACTAGACTGCATCGCCTGACGTTGCTCCACTGCTTTGTAGGCCAGAAATTTAGGTCGACGGCGCCGGGTGTGGTCCCCTAAGGAAATTACCTGCCTCGGTTTGGTCACCTGGGCAGTATAACTATTTGTAATAATGTTCATGTTTTTAAGTAAATAAATAGCTACCAATTTAATGCATAATTCCAATCAAAAATACCACAATTCATTGAAAATAATCAAAGTTGGATTTTCCGAAAGTTTAGATGGTTTCTTCTCGCTAGTGTTTCAAACTAGTCTTTTACAAACGAAAGAACGAACATTGCATTTGTAATATTGATCCATTCACTCATAACTTTATATGAGAAGACACAATTAAATGTAGAATGTAATGACTTCATAAACACTAAGTAAATGGGACTTAATCATTATTTGTAAGATTAGTCATATGACTAACGACGAATAGTAAAATAGAAATCTCAACAACAAACCACAGTATACTGATGATTTGCTTTACTTAAAACCAAACAACGTTATATACATCACTTTGTACTGGTTCCTATATGTTGATCAACACACAAAATGACACAACTACAAGGAAATGTTTACACTCAAACCACCTTACTAATTGATCAGTTATCACGTTTTTCTAACAGACAATTTAACTAAGAGGCAAAAGGTTTCGACACTATTTTCCAACGTCTTTATTTATATATGCCGATTGAGTGTTTATCGATTATTTTGGTTTGACTGTTTTCGTATTACCCTGATTCGAAGCTCTTATTTGAATCGTAAATTGTTTCTATGGCGTTTTTCACTAAGAAACTAGTATCGATTGCTTGTATTCACACCACCTCATTGTTTCCATGATTAAGCTTGTTGTTGTTGTTGTTATTGCTTCGTAATACTGGTACTTAAAACGTCTACTGAGTAGTCTACCCATATATGTAGATAAATGAATGTTTGAGATGTAATAACGATCCTTTACTGGTTATCATTGGTCATGTATTCTTCCTCTTCGTTTAGGGACAGTTAGAATCGAGCTAATTGTCAAGCATAGATTGTCATTCTCGATAGTTGTGGTCAAGTGTTATTCGTCTAATGTCATCTACTTGTGTTGTTTGGTTGTAAGACACAATGAAAATATCTTTTGATACTATTTATCTATTAGAAATCGTTCACTGTAGTTCAGTTAAAACGTGAATATTCTCAGTTATCATACATTTATACAGTAGTTTTCAAGTGCACTGAGGTAAAACACTGTTCAATGAGTTCAGTTAAAAGTTACATAAATTAATGTAGTTTAACAGTTAACGGATATTGTAATTAGAAAGATAAGAGCTAGTGACAGTTGACACAAGCCATTATCTTGTAGTGTGGAGTCGAGTCGCGGTTGACTATGATCACCAGTACGAGAAGGTTGCGTATCAGATATCAGAAGGCGACTAAAGGTTGTGGCGAGATATATTTGTTGGCGACCTGGTGGTATCGACAGAATACCGAGATCGTGTCAAAGGAGTACAAGTGGAATCACTGAGCAAACTTAAATGCATGCAAGATCACAATCAACGCAAGGACGTATGTGTTTTGGTACAGTTGAACAAGCACGTACGGTGGAATAACCCGTGGTACAATCGTTCATATTATTACTTGTTTTCATTACACCAATCGCGTTCTATTTGATGAAAGTAGATAACTACAATCTCAAATTACTATAAAAGCATAGAATTATTGTATATTGATGACAACCTTACATATGGATTAGTAAATGATGATTGTTGTTAATCATTCAGCATGAAAAAGGTTGTGAGTTCATATTGATCGATAATTGTTACTTACTTAGCAACAGAATTGTGAATCCACACGGGTGATCTTATCCGCAACGCAACCATGTAAACTTAATGTATCGCACACTGTCATTTGTGCGTTCAAGTAACCACAGATTTTGTCATTTCATAATGTATTTTTAATGAAACAACTAGATTATGTGGTTAATTTTGCTCTGTTTTTAATTTTTATTCACCACGCTTGACTGCGTTACACTGTACGTCCATTGCACGCTGGGATGATATCTCAAGTCATAGTGAGTTTATTCATATAGTTGATTGTTTCTAGATAGACTGTCAGTGCATAATGTTACTGAAGAAAGGCTTGTTGTACTGTAAACCATGTTTTTATGAACAACTGACTGTTGTCTTCAGTCTGAAAGCAATATATATATCCTTTGTCTTCTGTTAGGTAAGTTCGACTGGCCTATAGTTTGTGTTTTGGTTTTATCGGCTGAATTATGTCCATTTAACTACTTTGAGCAGCATGTCTGTGCAAATGAAACAATAACTATGACACTTGCTTAGTTTAGTATTCTTGGTTGTCGTATAATTTAGTTTAGTTGAAAGAATTACGGTATTATTATTATTATTATCAGCTTTATTCAATATTATATTTTTGGTACAATATAGAATTCTCAGCGTAAAGTATTTCAACAAGTTTCCGTTTCTTTCTTGTTGGTCGGTTCTGGCGATAAATATCGAGTGATCGCCAGGTAGATGTTAGTAGTTCAGTAAATGAACATCTGAATAAAGTGCATTCTTTTCGTTGTGTATTGCCAGCAACCACATTGTCTCTTATTGAGTTTTTTGTAACTTTGACAACAAAAGGTTGTACAATTTTCAGAAACGCAGCAGAACAGGTTATGCGATTAATAAACATAATGATATATTAAAACAAACAAAAATAGATAACTTGTTGAAATATCTAGATGGCAGGAACAGGTAGCCCAGATGCGCAAGCAGGCCGTCTTTGGGAGTTTTAAGTATAGTGCTTGAAGCCTGTAACGAAGCAGATCAGTTTAGTAAGTAGAGTTGCCTGTTTCTAATGAGTATGTGGAACTACGGTCTATTATGATATTAGTACTACTCTAATAATAGACCTAATCCTGAAATTGTAGATTTGTCATGATATAACTGCCTAATCTATAAGATCTTACGTGGAAGTCACACCATCGGCTACATCAACTCACTGTATCGTATCAATTACCAGTACATGATGTAGAACAAGGTTAGGCTAGAGAAAGAACAATATATTTAATATGAATAGAAGATATAATGTAACATTCGCCAGAGACCACGCCTGCATGGACGAGCCATGCCATCCGATCAAACCCAGTCCATTCAATTCATTGTTCGCGCCTTCTACATTGTTAGGTATTTATCCGCGTTAAATATTGAATATCTATTTTCTGAGTAGTCTCGTGTTTAGCTTTGTGGATTGTGCGGTTATTGTCCAATGCCACTACACTACTCTCCCACCAGAATCAACGTGATGTTGGTTCGATACCAAATTGG